TTGTCACTTCGAGGGGTAAAACGTATAACTATTGCACTGTGTTGTACAGCTGAAACTAATTCTAAAAAATGTGCATTTCACAATAAAAAATAATAATTAAAAAAATAAATAAATAAAAGTGATATATGGGTATAGACTCTATCTCTAGGGCATGGTATTTAATTTGCTTTATCTTCGCTTATTGTTTTTTATTTTGTCAAAAATTAGAGTTGTGTTGTCTTCTACTGTATTTGACTTCTGTTCATTTCTCTTTGTATTTCTGATAGCTTTTGCTTTGTATATCTTGGTGAAATGTCATTCAGAGCATAAGTGTTCTTTTTAGCTACACCTTTAATCTATATAAAATGACCTACAAAATGGCTCTCTTTATCCAAAAGAATATTGTTTTCCTTGACTTCTATTTTGATAATAACATTATGACCTCTTGTTTAACTTTTGTTTATAATTGCCTGGAATACTTTTGATAATTCTTTTAGTTTTACCAGTTTTATATGACTTTATTTTAGTGTTTGTTTTTTGTAAACCTCCTATAGCATTGTTTTTTGGCACCTATTGCTATGTTAGAGACATCTGAAACAATCTATTTTTTGTTCTACTGTAGTTAACCAGGTATTTTTTAGATGTTTGTGGATTTTTCTCCTTATCCTTGTATTTCAGAAAAGTTGCCAGGCAGCATGTAATTGTAGGCTCTTTCTTTTTATAGACTACCCCCCTTCACCCCAGAAGGCAGTAAATCCTTGTAATTTATATACACAGCTCTTTTTTTCAGTCCAGAATTTTTTTCTATCAGATCAATACTGATCATCTATATGCTGGTTGTCTGGTCTTTGTCTCCCATATCTATCATATTCTCTCTCAATGTTTTCATGTCTCTGTCTGTATACTCTTCCTTTTGAAAGAGAAATAGAGCTGACTAGGATTCCCATTGCCTCACCGACCAGCATTGTCTGGAAGACAATGGAATGACTGGAAATCTGAATAGTGCACACCCAGGGTAGCTGAGTCAGGGAATGTGGAGAGGGAAAGTCAAAGTGTCATGCATTCAAGCCCAGAGAGGTTTGTCTTTGTCCAGCTCCATTTGCCTTAGAATTTATTGTTTTGTTCTGTTTGTTTGCAATAGTGTGTCCTTCAGGCTTAGCTTTTGGGAAGGTTGGTGAGTTTTAATCTTTTTTTTATTTTCTGAAGTCATGGGAATAAATAAATGGCTTAGATCTGAGTCATAAACCTAGCTCAGCCATCCTAAGTTTTGTGAGGCTGGTCAGAATCAGCATTCTTTCTATTAAGACCTTCAGAATAACTCTCGTGTACTGTTGGTAGGATTGCAAATTGGTGTAACCACTATAGAAAATAGTATGGAGGTTCTTCAAAAAATTAAAATAGAACTACCTTTTGACCCAGCAATTCCACCTCTGAGTATTTATCCAAAGAAATCCAAAACACTAATTTGAAAAGATATATGCACCCCTATGTTCACTGGAGCTCTATTTACAATAGCCAAGATGTAGAAGCAACTTAGGTGCCTATCAATAGACGATTGGATAGAAAAGATGTGGTACATACAATGGAATATTACTCGGCCACTAGAAAGAATGAAATCTTACCATTTGTGACAACATGGATGGACCTAGAGGGTATTAGGCTAAGTGAAATAAGTCAGACTGAGAAAGACAAATACTGTATGATCTCACTTATATGTGGAATCTAAAGAACAAAATAAATGAACAAACAAAACAGAAATAGACTCATGGATAAAGAGAAAAAACTGATGGTTGCCAGATGGGAGGGGGGTTGGGGCACTCAGTGAAAATGGCGAAGGGATTAAGAAGTACAAATTGGCAGTTACAAAATAGTCATGGAAATGTAAAGTTCAGCATAGAGAATATAGTCAATAATGTTGTAATAACTTTGTATAGTGCCAGGTGGGTACTAGACTAATTGGGGGATCACTTCATAAATTATAAAAATTTCTAACCACTATGCTGTACACCTGAAACTAATATAAAAAATATTGCATATCAACTGTAATTGAAAAATTAAAAAACAACAACAAACCAACCTTGAGAGCAGAGGATGGAGGCGCCTGTGGAGCCCTTGGTTCTCTTTTCCTGCCCTTAGGCCTGTGGGTGGAGTATTACTCACAGAGCTGGGGAGGGGAACTCTGTTACAGGATGCAGAGGATGTGATGGGGCGTTTTCAGACCTAATCTGGCCTCCTGGCCATCACTGGGACTCTACAGTTATTTGTAAGAGAATGATTCAAAGAACTCTGGGTCTGAAGACCCAACAACAGCCCACCTGCCTGGCTTTGCCTGGGGGCCCTATGCTTTTGATCTGACTCCCGTCTTGCTGCCTGGGGTGAAACAGAGAGGTAACTTCTCACCTGGGAGAGGCACAGAGAGGAGGAGGGGTCCCAGGCTGATCCATTTGGATTAGAAACTGTTTACTTTGGAGTTCACTTGTTGCTCTTCTTGCTAGTTGAGCTGGGTCTTTGGACCACTTCTGTCCCTGTCAACTGTGTTTACTGGATACATGCCCCAGAGGTGTACCATCCTGGTGGGCACAGACCATTTGGGTGCATTTTTCTGACATGGGGTGTTCGAGGCTTGCTCTTCTTGCTTTGTGTAGGGCCAACAGCATCCAGTCCACCCTCACATTCACAGACCATCTTATTATTTCAACTAATGGCAAACCCGGTCCAGGACATACATCATATTGTGTAGTAATGAGGTTTATAGAAATGGCGGAAGCTTCCGAAGATCATTTTAATCCATTAAGGTTAATAATGGGATGCTGGGAGAGGCAGCATCAGGAGGCTCCCAGCCAGACATCATTTTAAGCCAGAACCCTTTCCTATTGATTCTCTTATTGGTTCCTAGACACTGACTAATCAGAATGCTGCGGCTCAGATGCCCTCTTCTGCCTTCCTGAGGTTTGCAGGCAGCGGTCATCATGGTTAATGGGACAGAATGGATGTCAACTCCTAGACCCTTTGGGTTTCCTGAGGACAAGACTACCAAACTTCTAGGCCCATTTTGATATCCCTTCCACATCCCCCAAAATTCCAAGAACCTGTAAAGAACCAAGGGACTCACATCCAGAAGGGAGCAAGTGTGGCCTGTGTGAAGCCCTTCAGCCAGTCATGGCCACCGTGACTTCTGGAAGTTTATGACTTGTTAAAAATGTTGAGGAATTTACTTCCTGGTTTACATGACCCTGTTTCCAAATCTGAGAAAAATGGCATGGTATAGTTAAAACAATACCGGGGGTGCCAAAAAAATGTATACAAGTGGACATTTTTGTCAACATTGCTCAAGCAGTAGTTTGCCGTAATCAGGTGTCTGAACACTGATGGTAACCACTTTGAGCACCTCTTGTAATTGCAGAAGTCAAATGTAATTTGTATTCATCTTTTGTTATTGGTATATATTGAGTATTACAATTTTAATAGTTTTTTTCCCCTCACTTAAAATGTGTATACATTTTTTGGGCACCCTCTATAATTGCAGGTCTAATGATTAGTAACTTCTTCATGAAAACTAACTGATGAAATATACCCATACTTCCACTCAGAAACTTATTCATGCTCTAATGTAATGTGCATCTTTAGGATTTAGGGTAAGCTTGGCCTTCTGAGAACCCTTCATTCTGTAGCCTTGAGTCTTGCCATGATTTTTTACCAAAAGCAAAGCCATTCTTACACAAATAAGCAGAGGACTTATTGGGCACAACTATCTGTGGATTTTCTCCCCCTGGGTAACGGTCAAAGAGTGTTGAATTCCCTGTCTGTGGAAGTCTCTCGTGCTGCTGTAGTGCTAGGGCAAGGACGTGAGGAGCAGGCAGGAGCCCCTGACCCTAAGAGTTGTGCTGTCCCCACCCTGTCCCCTTGCAGACTTCTCCATGATGACACCTATCAATGACCTTCACACGGCCGACTCCTTGAACCTGGCCAAGGGGGAGCGGCTAATGCGGTGCAAGATCAGCAGTGTGTACCGACTCCTCGACCTCTATGGCTGGGCCCAGCTGAGTGACACCTATGTCACGGTGAGGAGAGCATCTGGGAGTAGGGTGGGGCACTCACTGTGTGTGGCCCCCACAAAATCCAAAGGGAGAACAGACTGTTGGCATGGCCATGAGACTGCCAGTGCCCTTTGGCCTAAATGCACTGAGCCCTTCCAAGGCTCATAACCACTGTGGTCACCCGAAGTAGATAACCTGCCCATGGACACTTCTCTGGATGAGGAGCTGGGAACTCCTGGGTCCTGTTTCTAGGGCTACCTTGACCATTGAGAAATTCCTCTTGTAGCTCCATGTCCCCAGTTCCAAATAAAAGCCAAGTTCTCTTCATCGCTCTTGGGTTGGGGTGGGGAGAGACTGGGGTTCTTGAGAGGAAGATTTGGGTGCAATGGATTCAAGAGAAGAGGGGATTCAAGCAATGACCTCTTCCCTTCTTGCCACTGAGAACGTGTGTCTTTCCTCTAGCTGAGGGTCAGCAAGGAGCAGGATCACTTCCTGATTAGCCCTAAGGGAGTTTCTTGCAGTGAAGTCACAGCATCCAGTCTGGTGAGTACAGTCCAGTGCCTCGCTGCCCACTTCTTATTGAAATGACAGCACCCCCTCTGCTCCTACAGTGATAGGTCATCTCCAGATTATCCACTGCTGTACTATCCCTTGTGGCACTCCCAATCTGGTGGGGCAGAAAATACACACGGGCACAAAAAAAAACCTGAGCCCCAGAGCACGATGTGACCACAAAAACCCATGTGAAGCGCAGGCAGCAAATGCAGTAGGAGGGAGCCTAGGATTGTACCACAAAGGCTGGGAGTGGGGAGGCCTTTCTGGATGGGGATACATTAGAATGAAAGCCAGTGCTTTGTCCCAAAGCAATGCAAGACTTGTCTAGTGCTGGTGCCATTAGAAACAGCTTCTGGGACTGCTTTCAGTCCTCCTGCACCTCTTAGGTGTCAGGAGAAACTTCCAGAAGTTGGTTTCAATCAAGGAAGATTTCTGGGTGGGAGGAGGAAAGCAGTAGGAAGGGCTGTCTTAGAAGCAGAAGAGGCCCAATGTTTCTTAGATTTGTGGGCTGCAGCTGTTGTGCCATGCGCCTGGGAGAGGAGGCTGCCACCTCGGGGCCTCCGCCAGGCTTGAGACACACTCATATGTGGAGTCCAGGTACTCAGTTAAAAGAGCGGGCTGTCAAAGTCACCGAATATCTGGGCAGGGCAGGACCTCCTGGACTGTCAATGACACTTTACAGGCAGGAGAGGGAACTGGTGCCCAGCAAGGGTAAATGACTTGCACAGGGCCACGCAAGGAAGTCATGGCAGAGTCAGACTGGGACCACAGACACAAGGACTGCACAGGCTCTGTCTCAAAGGCATTCATTGTTGGACGGGGGAGCAGGGGAGGCAATCAATCAGTGATTCAACTCAGACTGAAGAGTGCTCCGATTGAGACGAAGGAAGCTTGGGGAGCCTGGGGAACAGGCATGGAGCTCAGTGGTGCTATAGGAGGTGGAGGGGGCAAAGGGGGAGCTCCGAGGTTGAAATAGTGATGAAGGAGTGGAATCCTCAGGAGCCCACGGGATAAACAGACTCAGACCAGGGCGGCAGGGAAAGACTGGGCAGAGGTAACCAGGGGCCAGCCACTTTGAAGTCATGTTCATTCTCTGAAATTCACTTCAAATATAATTTTGTAAGAGGTATTTATTGAACATCTTACTGATGCTTCTGCTTAAACAAATGGTGTCAGTAGTGTGTCCCTTCCCCACGCGAGTCTGTGTCTCCCTTTGGTACCATCTTGTCTGCCTGGGCCTTCTGGAATGAGGGTGGTGGGAAATTTGTGGAACTGTGTAGTGCATTCAGAATACCATGGCGCTACAATTTTAAGGGCCAAAGCTGTCGTGATTTTTAGAAACTCAAATCTAGCTTATTGTCAATAAGTTATGCTAACTACCAGCTGCAGGGAGATTGCACCCTGGGCTCCAGGAGGCATCTTCGATAAAAGGGCTATAAGTCTCTCTTCTTCCCTGGCCCAGATCAAGGTGAACATCCTGGGAGAGGTGGTGGAAAAGGGCAGCAGCTGCTTCCCAGTGGACACCACAGGCTTCTGTCTGCACTCGGCCATCTACGCAGCCAGACCCGACGTGCGCTGTATCATCCACCTGCACACACCGGCCACAGCAGCGGTGAGTGTCTGCTCTCCACCAGCATTTGACTCCCTGAGGCCAGCAGCAGGCCCATGCTCCCTGCTTCTCCGAGAGTCTCCCTGAGGAAAGACATGAGACCCCCAAGCTAACAATCTCATCATTGAAACAGTTCTGGAAAGATTTCCTGGAACTCACGCCAAAGTAAAGAGAAGGAACACCCAATGCAGGGACCCTAATCCTCTCCATTTTTCTAACTATGGAAGTCTTGGTTTCGGGGAGATAAGGTAAAGATGTGTAATGTCCGCCCAACTGCATCCCCTACCCTGCCACATACACAAACTGGCACCATTTACCCAGGTGTCAGCACCTCTTGAGTTTCTCTACTCCGGTCAGTCCTATTGGATTGAGGGCTGGTGCCTTCTCCTTCCCACCCACCCCTGACCCCTATCCTCACCCCAGGCTCTGGTGAGGAGAGTTCTTGATAGAAGATGTTGGGAACCTGGACTTGCCCACTTTTCATGGCTCAGGGTAGGCTGAGAGCTGGAGACAGGAGCAAGGAAAACTGGGAGACAGTAGAAGGAACCCCCCTCCCCCAAAGAGCAGGGTGTCCCCTCAGAGTCTCTGGTGATTTCTTCTTGTATGCCTAAGACACTGCAACATCACTTAGAAAGACAGCAGACAACCAGTCCTGGTTGTCTCAACCTTTACCCCATCTTACGGGCTCTCCAGGCCACACACCTATAGATGCAGAGCAGACGGTCACTGGCCTGTGGTTTTCTCAGTGAAGCACACTGGTTATGAGCGCACACTCAGACCTTCCAGAATTTGGACCAAGACTGGACAACATATTTGTGCCAACTGTCAGTCCAGAGCCTGGACTTACTCATGGGGCAAAATGAGTGAAGGAGGCCAAGAGGCTCTCCTAAATCTTTCCATACTCCCTGATTTTACTAAAAGGCAGGGCATGGTGTGTAGTGTTTATAATAGGGTTTCACCCTGTTCCCTGGCACTCATTGCCCTGTTACTAATAAAATGGGGCTTCACAATGGGCCTCCCTGTTAGTGAGGAGTTGTGGATGTTTCTGCACTGACCTCAAGACTGAGGGTCTCCATCAACCCACCCTAGGGGACCCTGAACTCTGATTCACCCCAGCCTGGTGCCAACTCCACCACCCCCTGCTTCTTTCTAGAGTCCTAGGACAAGAGCAAAGCAGGGGGTAGGGAGCAGCAATAGCTTTCTAAAGTTCATTCTTTGCAGCAATTTTAAAAAGTGATCTATTGACATGGTTGCTGTGAAGACAGTGATGGAAAGACATTAGAGGCAGCAGCCAGAAAGCAAGACCCCAGCCAGGAGGAGGAGAGTCAAAGGGTAGTGTCTGTCTCATGTGCTTGGTTCCCACCCCTATCCCCAGGGTAGAACTTGACTTTGCCACTCTGAGGAAAGGGGCTGGGGGAGCTGCAGGCGCTAACCATTCCGTCGTCTCACTGAAGGTGTCAGCCATGAAGTGGGGCCTCCTGCCTGTCTCTCACAATGCCCTGCTGGTGGGGGACATGGCCTATTACGACTTCAATGGTGAAATGGAGCAGGAAGCGGATCGGATCAACCTGCAGAAGTGCCTTGGACCCACCTGCAAGGTTTGGCCCAGCTGTTCTGGGAAGATGCTTCAGGGTCAGACTGTCAAAGCCGACATCACAAGTGACACATGTTCATTGGATGTTGTTTAGAAGTATAACCCTATCCAGAGATTTGGGTACACACCCCAAATATATTCACATATATTTACAAAAGTAGGATCATAAAATATATTCTCTTTTTCCCCCTTAGCAATATACAGTAAACACCTTTGTGTGTTATTAAATATTTTCTATACCACTATTTTAAATTGTTAAATTATACCTCATTGTCTGAATGGCTGTGCCACCATTTACCTGTACAGTCCTCTATGGTTGGATATTGGAAGGTTTTTTTTCTCCCCCCTCTAATTTTCTCTTAATATAAACAACACTGTGATGCAAATCCTTTCAGCTGAACCTTTGTGTATGCTTGAGATGATTTCCTTAGGATAAATTTCTAAAGATGCACATTTTAAAATTCTTACTTCATATTGCTAAATTGCCGTCTCCTCCCTGCCATGTTGAGTATATAAGAATGCCGTTTCATGGCGGTCTCCCCAAACTTGAGTGTTATCACTTTTTTTTCCTAACTTGATAGAGATAAACAAAATCTCATCACTGTTTGGTTTAAGTCTAAAGAACACTATTCTATAACAGCATATCGTTAGGGGTGATCAGCTTCGTATGGGGAGCTTCGGAGCCGAGCCTGGGTTGCTGGACACTCACTCCTGTCCTCGAAAGGCACTCACTGCCTGAGTCATTTCCCATCTGGGAGTCCCTGTCTTTCCATCTCTGACACAGAGGAGAAATCCCTGCCACTATCTCCTGACATTCTCTAAAGCTTCAAGAGCAGGGCCCATGGTGGGATGAGATGTCTCATCTATAAACTGCTACAAGAATTTGAAAGATGGGGCATTTGTTCTCCACAAAATCTTTTGTGGGCCAGGGTCATCGTCTCTTTCCATTTCTCTGGTACTTGATAGGAAAAACATGCAACTGTTTTCAGCAAGAGAGGATGTGCTGATGAGGCCTCAGCCCAGGTCTGCAGAGACAGATCCAATGTGTGGATCTATGTCCCAGCTCCCAGGTGGACATCAGCTAGTTGCAGAGAGTTCTTGAGAATAAAACCAACCAAGAATTTCTGGCATCTGGATCTTGGGGAGTCAGGCTCTTGATATAAATTCATTTCTGGGTTTCCTCCCCTTTTATCTGCCTGGCCCTGGCTGAGTCAGAAACATTACACCAATGGTGAGAACACCTGGGTTCTAGTTCCCACTCTGCCCCTAAATAGCGGGGAGACTTTCAATTTCTTTAGGCTTCTATTTCCTCTACTGTAAAACCAGTGAGTTAGATGAGAAAGTCACTGTGGCCGCTTTCCTAGAACCTTCGGACCTTAGAGCTGCCAGGGCCTCACTGAGTTTATAGAGAGTAAAACCGAGGTCCAGAGAGGTCATGTGACTCGCCATCAGGGTCTCAGGTTTCCCACTTGTTTCTTAGAGCCACCCCTTAGAGGGCCACCCCCTCAGGTTTTGACTCTGAGGTCAACTAACTCACAGGGGCAAGAGGTTGCTTTTGAGGTTGGACCCTCATATTGGACATCAAATAATTTCATTTACTTTAAGTTTTTCAGGCTGCTAAGCTCTCTAAGGCATAAAAAACCCAGGCATTGCCCAAAGAAATCCACCAAGCTACTTAGTCTCAGTCTTTAAAACAGCATCTTCTGCTTCTTAGGGTGGATGCTTAGGGTTAAAATCACATGTGGGGTAACACTGGGGCATTTCTGTAAGGAGAATGAATTGGGGGGGGCAGGGCTTGGAATTGGATATGGAAATTGATCTGAATAAAATGAAAATTTCTCCCCTTTCACTAAGGTTTAGAAGGCTTACAGTTTTAATTTGCCATTTGCTCCTCTGCAGATCCTGGTGCTAAGAAACCATGGCGTGGTTGCCCTAGGTGACACTGTGGAGGAGGCGTTTTATAAGATCTTCCACCTGCAGGCTGCATGTGAGATACAGGTAAGCAAGTTCCTCTGGGGAGTGGCTCTGACACGGCCCTGTGGGCAAAGGCTGTGGCCCTATTGGCTCTGATTTAGGGAGGCCTGTGAGCCACCTAAAAGCCTTGACCTATTTCTCTGCCTTGGCACCATCTTGTCCGTCTAAAGTTTCACACTTAGAATCTGTTCTGTAGCTTTGAAAAATTTATCACCATTGTCTAACAACCAACACCCAACTTTTGGGGGTCAATGCCCAGAATGGGGAGCTGCCTAGGCTCATCAATTAGAGGGCAGGAAAAACCATCCTAGGGCAGATAAGAGATTTTACCATGCTCCTATATTGTCTGGGGTATACCTATTACATCTGGCTATCCCCAATAGACACCACACAGGTAAGCCTTCTTTCTTTCTGTTTTTGGATGTGGGTAGTTTGCAAAAATCATCAATGTGGTCAAGTCCAGAAAGAGAAGTGGAGGCCAAGGTGGAGTGTTGACATGGCAGGCTGAAATCCCGGGGACCCCCTAAGGTGATGTGCAGGGAACCCATCATGACGTTCTCCTAACCAGTAAGAGATGGGGTGGAGCGAGTGTCCGTGGTCAGGGGACCCCTAGAGGAGATGGTGAAGAAGCCATAGGAAAACAGACGCCAATCCTGTAGCTTTATTAGATAACAAGGTGGTGCTGGATAAGCCAAGCACTTGCTCCTTTCAGTGTGGCAAGACATCAGGGGGAGCAGGGAGCCTTGCACAGCTGACTGGGCTTTATCCTTCCCAGCTCTGGGCTGTGTGCCTTGGGTCGGGGACTTGCCCTCCACAAATCGCCCATTTTCTCAGCTGCAGATGTGGGGCCTATAGAGTCCTTATGAGGCCAGGGCCTTTCAGACAAGGAGAGGTGTTGCCGATGGTATTTTGGGGGCTCAATTAACAGGAGGGGAGTCTTACTGCTCCAGGGCGAGTCAGCTCTCTGCAGGGCCCTTTGGTGTCCCACTTGCCCTCTCCTGGTCTGGGCAGAGCAGCGCCCCAAGGAAGGCCTGCCTTTCTCCTGGGAGTTAGGGGAAGAGAAGGATTAGGCTGGAAGCATCACTAGTGGAACCTCTACAAGTGGCACGTTTCTCAATGGTTTTTAAAGAAATATGTTGAGAGGAGTATTGTTATGACAGTGGTGAAGCGGTGTTAGAGGAAGTGGTATGAGACTGCCCACCCCCCTCCCCCAGCCACCACACACAAAAAAAATCCCAGAAAACAATAGCAGTGGTCAGAACCGGAGAGTGTGGAGAAGGTACAGCAGGACCAAGGTGGTGCCTTTCTGATGTGGCGGCCTCCCTGCCCCCAACCAGTGATGCTGGCCTTGAGCTCTGACCCCTGACTGGTGTTAGAACCTGACAGGGCCTCTGATATGCCCACGTTCCCTTCCCCACATCTGAGCTCTTCAGAGCTATCCATCTTCCTTCTGAAGAAGAGGTTCCCATGAGAAAATAGTTCTTATCTCTTTGCAAAGACAGCACAGCCATAAGAATGAATGGAGAGAGATGCCCCTGTCCCCCTCATGGTGAAATGTATCTCTCCTGGGCTCCAGACCTTCAGAAATGGCGACTGTGGAATTTAACCAATGGCGGAGATGAAAGGGCAGAGCTGAAAGCCCGCCAGCTACTTTTCTTGACCCTACCCGTTGTCATTTTCTTTTCAGTCAGGACTGGTTTGACGTGACCTTGTTAAAATGCATCAGGCAATGGAGGCAGATAACTCCCAGAAAAGCTCCAGTGGCTTCTTTTAGCTGATGGAGCAAGGAGGCGTCTAGAGGGAGAAATGAAGCGGGAAGGTGTGGGAGAAAACCCGGCGAGATTAGACGCGAGGCGTTGGTGGTTTAAGGCATGGAAGATCCCAGGTACCGGCAGTCTGCAGATGCTGTTAGGATTGTAGAATCCAGCTGGGTCATTTTTGGTTGAATGGCCAGCACTGAAGCTCCCCTTCTGGAAATTGTGGATCTAGTTTTCTCCCTTGGTGACTTTGGCAAACAAGTACATGTGACTGTGGTTCAAGGCTAAGAGACTATTTCCATCTCTTGGGACTGTGTTCTCTTTGCTCTCCATCAGTTTGGGGTTCTAGGAAATTGGGTCATCCCCAGCTGAGAGAGGCAGCTCCCTGCACTGCTTATAGGCAGATGGGAGGAAGCGCAGGCAGTTCTCCATCTGCTACCCATCACCATGGAAACTGATGGGAGAAGAGGGAGGTGGGAGGAAGCAGCTCTTTCAAGAATGTGGGCAATTCTCTCCTCTTCCATGAATGACCAGTCCCCAGAAGATATTGCTTCTCATTCTTTCATGGTAAAAACTCATAGTTTACTTGTCATAAATATTTATATGGCACTCTCTATGCACCAGGCACTATTCTAAGTGCTTTACAAGTATTACCTTCAATAATCCTCATGAGGTAGGTACTACTATTTTCAATTTACAGATGAGAAAAACTGAGACACAGAGAGGGTAAATTACTGCCCAAAGCCACGACAAGTAAGTGGCAGAGCCCGGATTCCAACCCAGGGAGCCTGGAGTCTGAGAGTGTATTCTTAAACACTATCTTGCATTGTACTGCTTCTCAGGACAGTAAGGGTTTGTGGGAAAGGTCGGCAGACACGCCAGGAACCCACTTCAGGCAGCGGGCACTTCAAGTCAGTGTTTCAGGTTCCACACTGAAGCCCTGCCTTGGTGAGATGGGGGTCCAGGATGAACTAGGTAAAGTGATCAGCTAGGTGGAATTCATTACCTGTCAGGGTATGTTCCATGGGCTCAGCCTCAGTGCTGGGACTTCAGAACTAGAAAACATGGCAGCAGAGGGCAGAACTGGGACCAGTAGGTTTCAGTTCACTGTAATCTGTATCAACTCACTGTGACCCTTTGACATTTGGACAACACTACTGTTGGCTGCCACCCCAAGCATTGGGCTGATCCCCTTCTGGGGATCTCAGACAAGGACTCCTAACTGTCGGTGGGAGGATAGAATAAATGATCTCTAAGTTCTCTGTCTTTGTCAGGGTGTGGAGTCATTTTTTAAGTTAAAAATGGAGCCTTCCATTGGACATGTGTCTTGGATGAAGAGGGCATGGAAAATGAGTGTTCCAGCGTCCTCCTTTTCACAGGGTGATGTGGTCACCTTGGGAAGGTGGCCTGGCTGACCTCCAAGAAGTCTCTTCGGTGTCATTTGTCACACTGGTGAATTTAACACACCCCAGGGTGTGTCCCAGGTTCTCATGGGATCATAGGACTTGTTTGTCCGCAAGCTAAATTGCATCCTTTCATTTTCAGTAAAACAAACAAAAAAAACTGTCACAAAAATTAAAACATTAAAAATTTATATAATCAAAATAGTTTCCCCCTAATAAGCAGGCTTACACGAGATAATCAAATATTAATCAGAATGCTAGTGGATGGATGCACAGTGCAAAACTCCTCACTTAGTTTCTTCCTGTAGCTGGACTTTCCCAGGAAACCAGATCATAACCAATTGTATCTGAGTGGCCGAGATGGGGAGTAAATAGAATGTACTGTTAGATGAGCATAGAATTAGAAAATAAGGGAGTTCGTTAGATTGATGAATGCTTTTTAGGATCTCGCCTGCTGTATACACACACCTCTTGTCCTAATACTCAGAGACCATTGCCTTCAACCACCTGTATCATCCCATCTCCTGAGAGCCTTGACAGTGGGACAAACACTCTAAGTCCATTGGTGAAAGCTGCCTCACCCTACACAGTGCCTGGCTGTGCAATACCAGCATTTCATCTGTCTCCTGGGTTTCTTTCTTTCTTGTGTGTTTTTTTTAAACTTTATTGGGGAACAGTGTGTTTTTTCCAGGACCCATCAGCTCCAAGTCAAGTCGTTGTTTTCAATCTAGTTGTGGAGGGCACAGCTCACTGGCCCATGTGGGAATCGAACTGGCAACTTTGGTGTTAAGAGCCTGTGCTCTAACCACCTGAGCTAAATGGCCGCCCCTCTCCTGGGCTTCTTGACTGACTAACCCCATCATGGAGGATGCTTTCTTACTTTAGGCCTGTTAATTCAGCCCATCAGTCATATACATATATACAGTCAATACAGTCATATTTCATTAGCCTAGAAGCCAGCTTATTTTTTTCAAGTGACTTTTTTTTAAAAAAGGGAGATATTTCAAACACATAGAGAAATACAGAGTATGTATATCCCGTATATCTGCTACCCATCTCTCAGACTTAAATATTAATAGCCTTTTTGCTTCAGATATTTTCCTCTTGAAGAAATAAAATATTATAGACAAGACTTGAAGTCCTTTTTGAAGCCTTTTCTGATCCCATCCTCCCACCCTCCCAGAAAGAATCACAATTTGAAGTTGGTCTGTATCCCAGGTACCTTTTCAGCCCTCTGCATTGTTTTATTCTTTTGTTTGTTTGTTTGTTTGTTTGTTTTAGCTGAGCCATCCTGTCACCTGTTCGCAGCTCAGTGGCAACTCAGCTCGGGCCTGGAATAGAACCGCTGTGCTCAGAGCTCACACTCTTGAGCAAGTTCTTAACCAGCTGAGCCCCTCGGCTGGCCCTGTATTGTTTTATTCTTAAGGTTTAACACTTGCTATTTCCTTCTTCTCTATAGTCTCTAAGTATTGACATTAAGAAAGAAATTGCTAATACCTCCTTCTCTGGAAATGGGTGCATGCCCAACAAGTTTGGGGTGGCTTTTCCTCTGGGAGGAAAAAGCTAAATACAGCTTGGTTTTCCAGCCATTTCTGTTTTTAATCTTCCCTCATCCCCACTCTGTTATACATACGAGTATGATAAGTGCACGGGTATATGTGCGTGTACACACACACACACACACACACACACACACACACACAACCTGAGGGCTCTCTGCTCTTCACTGCAGGTGTCTGCTCTGTCCAGCGCTGGAGGGGTGGAAAACCTCATCCTCTTGGAGCAGGAAAAGCACCGACCCCACGAAGTGGGCTCTGTGCAGTGGGCAGGAAGCACCTTTGGGCCCATGCAGAAGAGCCGGCTGGGGGAGCACGAGTTTGAGGCCCTCATGAGGATGCTAGACAACCTGGTGAGTCTCCTGCCATTGCCCTTTCAGGCCGGTCCATCGAGACTTAGTCCCAGAACCAGTCAATACAGGGCACTACGTGGGCATCAGAATTGCCATCATCATGGTTACATCATGGTTATCAAAGCCTCGTTGATTAGCAACTTGACTTAGAATTTGTGGTCATTCTAATAATAGTTGAGTGGCCTTTGCCACCCACTTCTCAGGGCTGTGGTGTCATCATACCTGCAGAGTGCTCTTTGGAGAAGGTGTAAGAAGATATTGGTTGGTAAAAGAAGTAGTAATCCATAAAAGTAAAAACCATAGAGCTTCTCTTATAATGTGACTTGATCACTGTTTTGTAGTTAGTTCTGCCTTTCTCATCTCATGACTTTAATTCAGAAAAACACATAATATCACAAATTTCTTATTCCTCATGAGCAGCATTATAACAATATCCTATTGTAATGATTGAATGAATCAATCATTACAGGAGTTAACTGGGACAGACGCATCTAGGAGTGGGATTTAAACGGTACAAAACAATTTTAAGACATTCTTTCTCCTAGGAGCTCACAGTTTAGTTGATGACATATGTAAACAGGAGACAATTCAAGAACAAGAGGAAATCTTATACCATGCATGAGGAGCTAATTGCAGGAAGAGACTCTAACTTCTTAGATTGCTCAGAGTGGTGAAAGATGAGACCTATCTTTGTAACATTTTTATATCTGATTCATCCCCCTTCCCCACTGCTATTGTCTTGGGCCCTCTTTATTGTGCCTGGGTCACTGCAATGATTAATACTTTCTTCTTTGCCTCTAGTTCCTCCTAATCATCTCCATCTTATTACCAGGCTGACCATAAGGGTCACTTTTTAATGATGAAAGGTACAATCCACAATGAAAACACAACTTCCATTAGCACTTGTGTGCTGAGTAATCTATGCTGAAATAAAGCACCAGAACCAGATGGTTTCATACAGGAATTCTTTCCATTATTTAATAAACAGACAATTCTTATGCTATTTAATCTGTTTCACAGAGGAGTAAAAGAAGGACACTAAACCATAACAATTATAACACAGTCAGACTAATCTTACTTTGAGTTGATGAAAAATGCTGCATGAAAACTACCATAGTATCCAGCATAACATTAGAATATTAATACACAATAACCAAATGAAGGTTCATTCCTAGTATTCAAGGATGGTTTAATATTGTAACCATTTTAAATATATTTCATGGTATTAATGAGTCTAAGGATAAAAACCTTTTGATCATTTTAATAAATATCAAATGGCAGTGGATACAAACTTAGTACCAATTTATAAAAATAATAGCTGTTATGTAGGACAGGAGGACACTTATTTAACATGATTAAAATGATTTTACTCAAAACATGAACCAATATCATGGTAAAACACTAGGAGTATTTCCATTAAATTTTATACTCAATCTTAGCCAAAAGGGTGGGAAGCGATATGTTAAGTTTGTGTGTGTGTATGTGTGGTTAGGCATTTATTTTTATTTTTTTCCTTTGGCAGGTTTATTTTAAAAGTCTTTTCTTTACTAGTTTCAGGTATACAAAACAATGTCATAGACATTTACACCCCTCACAAAGTGATATCTCTGACAGCTATATATCTACCCCTCTGACATCATATATAGCTGTCAGAGATATAGAGAAAAACTGAGGGTCGCTAGATGAGAGGGTTTTGGGGATGGGACAGAAGGTAAGGGGATTAGAAAGTACAAATTGGTAGCCACAATATTGCCAAGGGAAAATGAAAGACAGTTTGGGGGATAAAATCAATAATGCAAAGATTTTGTAGGGTGTCAGATGGGCACTTGTCTTACTAGGGAGACCACTTTATGGACAGTGTAGATGCTTGACTACTGTGCTGTACACTTGAAACTGAAGCTGAATAATATTGAGTGTCAACTATAATTTAATATATGTATAGTCATAGGATGTGGAGTACAACATAGGGAATAGAGTCAATGGAATTGTAACAAAACAATGATTCCTGCTCTCAGCACTATTATTTAATATTGTTCTGGGATAGTATTGGAACTCAATCCAAAACAATGAGGCATAAAAATAAGACGTATAAATATTGCAAAGGAAACAAAATTGCTATTCCTTGTAGATAGCATGGTTACATGCCTATAAAGTCTGAAAGAATCAACTGAAAATAATATTAGAAATAATGAGTACATTTTCAAGTGGCCACTTATGAAAATGTATATTAACATATAACATAGTAATATATTTGAAAACATAATAATGGGAGAAAATAATCCTATTTGCAAATGTAACAACATCATAAAACCTTAAGCAGAACCCTTTTAAAGAAAACCATAAAGCTTTGCCAATAGACATCAGAGAAAACCTGAACTCAGTGAGGAGCTATAATTTATTTTTGGTTAGAAAGCTTCCAGCTTTCTTCCTTCCTTCCTTCCCTCCTTCCTCCCTCCCTCCCTCCCTCCCTCCCTTCCTTCCTTCCTTCCTTCCTTCCTTCCTTCCTTCCTTCCTTCCTTCCTTCCCTCCTTCCTCCCTCCCTCCCTCCCTTCCTTCCTTCCTTCCTTCCTTCCTTCCTTCCTTCCTTCCTTCCTTCCTTCCTTCCTTCTTTCTATCTTTTAAATAAATAAAAGTAGCTAAAAACACTCTTAAAGAAAAAAAAAGAAAGCTTCCACAGGGTAAAGAGGTCACTTTTCCAAATTAATCAATAAACTCAATGTAATTCCTTTAAAAATGAGGGAAGGTGTAAGGACTTAGCAAATTGTTCTTCTAGATGAAATTCAGAATGGCTTGGAAAATCCTATAAAAAGAAGAGTACTTAGAGATACCTGCCCCAGCCACATGGTTAAGCGTAATAAAGCCCGAGTAACTAAATGGAGGAGCACTAGTGCAGAATGGACAGGCAAATCAGTGTGGCAGCTTAAAGAATCCAGAAATAGATCCCAAATATATGAGAATTTAACACAGGTCAAACAGGCATCTTATAAAGCAGTGGGGAAAACATAGACTACTAGTTATTTGGAGAATACAACTAAGGTGGATTGCTACTTCATTCCTTTCATCAAGATAAATTCCCTGATTTATCAAAAATTAAAACAAACTCATATAGGTATTAAAAACATAGATTCATCTTTTAGAGGCTCTTGTGCTGGGGAGGACCTTGTCAAGCATGGCAGGAAAGTCTGAAATCATGATGACAAATATTGACAGATAAGATGACATCAAAATTCAGAATTTGCATTTTTCTAAACTGTTCCCCCCCCACCACCATAAACAAAGCTAAAAGACAAGCTATGGGGGAAATATTTGCAACATCTGTTACAGTCAAAAGATTAATGTCCTTAATGTAAAAAGAGATATTACAGATCAATATGAAAAAGAAAAACATCTCAATGGAAAAATAAACCGAGAACAAAAACAATTTACAAAGGAAGAGGTTCAAGTAGCCATTGAGTGTAGTTAAAAACATCCAATTTTACTAGTAATCAAAAAAAAAATCAAAACAATTAGAGAAGTTAGGCAGAGCTGAGAATGGCTCCACAGCTGCCAGGATTCCCGAGTGTTCATTCGCACTGAGCAGCAAGCAGTCAAGTGTGGGACATGGTCTTACTTAGGAGTCAGGGATGTTCTTGAGCCAGATTTTGGGGTTCTAAGAGGGAAATGGTTAAGAAGCCTCAGAGTTGAGGAAGGGAGGGCTCGACTGTTAGAATCCAGCTGGGAAGCTTTTAAAAATCTTGTTGCTCAGACCACACCACCATCCAATGAAATGGGCGGCTCTGAGGTGGGCCCAGGCATCAGCATTTTTAAAGGTCCCACGTGGTTCCAATGTGCAGCCGCGTTTGAGAACCGCCGCATGAAAAATTAGAGCTCTGTTTGTGTAAGGAGCTCTGTCTGGTCCACAGGGATTTTCTCAGCCCTGGTCAGAGGGCTTGTTGGGATGGAGGAAGGTGAGGGATGTGGGACCAAGACAAGGAACGATTCTCGGATACGCCAGAGGAGCAGCAAGGCCTAGGTTGTACTAATGACTAAGCTGAGTCATTAGATGGAAGGGGGTGAAGTTCGTGGGTGGGTGGGGGTGTAGGTGGACATGCCGGCAGGTACAGACCATTTTCTCCACAATACGCGGTTCTCTGTTTTGTCCTTTTTAGGGTTACAGAACAGGTTACACGTATCGCTACCCCTTTGTGCAAGAGAAAACCAAACATAAAAGCGAGGTGGAGATTCCGGCCACAGTCACAGCCTTCGTGTTTGAGGAGGATGGCGCCCCGGTGCCCACCCTCCGGCAGCACGCCCAGAAGCAGCAAAAGGAGAAGACCCGCTGGCTCAACACGCCCAACACCTACCTGCGGGTCAACGTGGCTGACGAGGTCCAGAGGAGCATGGGCACGCCCCGGCCCAAGACCACAGTAAGGCGGGCAGAGGGGGCTCTGGCTGGGGAAGGCCAGGGTGGGGGAGGGAGTGCCTGGTTGTTTGTGGGTTCAGCAGCTTTAAAATAGGGGAGCAGAACAAGTCTCCCTGGGCCTGTGTTAGTACAAGCTCCGCTTTGGGCTTCCTATCGGATGGCTGGGAGCAGCTGTTTGTGCCCATGGAGCCTCTGATTATCTGTTTCTTTCACCTGTGTGCTGAGTTTTTGGGTCCAGAGGGTGGCTAGGCCAGGTAACTCCCAGCAGCACGGAGCAATTGATGTTTGCTTCTTTCCCACATCCAGAGGGAAATTCTGGGAAGTTCAAGGATGGCTATCCAATATTTGAGCTACACATCTGATGCAACCCAGGAGGCGGGTGCGATATTCATTTCTATTACGTTGTTCTCCACTGTGCCCCACCCCCACCACCTCTACTACACACACTCTGACTCTTAATTTGATTTTTTCATTAACATTAAAGTAGCTGGCAGCCAAACAGAATAGCTCTTCATTAAAACAAAAAACAAAATATGAAGCCTTGCAAATTAATATCATGGAGTCATCTAATACTGAAGCTCAAGTGGCTGCCTGTCTGTCAACACTGGTTACCAAGGTACTGACCCCTCCTTTTAAGTGCCATTTGGCTATGGACCGGGGCCTTCTTTGGCAGCTGGGTCATTTGCTGCCCATCTGTGCTCTGGAAGATAGACATCACAGAGGCCCATGGGGAAAGAGCATGTATGTATAGGCTTGCTGACTTTTCATGTAGGCCAGTTGGCCCAGATCGCATGGGGCAGGGCAGTGGGGTCTTATTCCTTTGCCTTACCCACCCGGTCTTGTGTGTGTTCAGTGGATGAAGGCTGACGAGGTGGAGAAATCCAGCAGTGGCATGCCGATACGGATTGAAAACCCAAACCAATTTGTGCCTCTCTATACCGACCCCCAAGAAGTGCTGGACATGAGGAACAAGGTAGGGTGGTGGCTGGTTATCTCACCATCTATTTTCCCTCGAGGGGGAGAAGGGGCGGGGCTGGGATTCCCAGGATGCTCCTGACTTACTAACACCCCAGATGCGTCTTATGGGAAAGAAACTACCATTTATTGGCCCTATTGCAGGCACTGTGCTAAGTGCTGTACTTACACAGTCCTATAGAACTCTCTTCCATAGACATGTGCTTGCCTAAGGCATGAGATGTGTCAAAGAGACCTGCCCACAAATTGAGTTTTTATGAATTTTATGCTGTTTTCCTTTTGGCCCATTTTCAAGATTTCAAAATCCTTTATATTTATTTCTCCACCTGTGCTTTACAGTTCACTTAGATTTTGAATGTATTTTCAAAACTTAAGTTGTAGCAGACCACCTCCCATAAGACAGATACGCTCACAAAACAGCATTTCAATGTGTGGTCCAAGGACCCTCTGAAGTGCTTGTTTAACATGCAGATTCCTTGGTCACCCCTCGCCCCTCTCTCCAAGAGATTCAGATTCAATAGGTGTGGGGTGGTCCCAGCAATCTGTATTTTGAACAAACTCCTTAGTGGCTTCTTAGGAAATTTAAATTTGAGACTCTCCTTCAACAGTCGGCTATGCCTCATTTCGCTCTTTACCTCATACATGTAGTTACTTTCCCCGAGTCAATGAGCATCTGGTGTTCTACATACACCGTCCATTCACTCAGAAACAGACATGGAGACTGTCTCAGAGTGGATGGACTGTTTTGGAAATAGAGGAGGCAGGCTCCCACACCGCTGGGGGACCCTTTTAGACCCAAGTCACGGACCACGCTGGCCACCAGTATGCCCTGGGGATGCCCCTCCCAAACTCCACACCCTGACACTGAACAGTGAGCTCACTCTCTTCCTCTCTTTCCACACAGATTCGAGAACAAAACCGACAAGATGTGAAGTCTGCAGGGCCCCAGTCCCAGCTCCTAGCAAGCGTCATCGCTGAGAAGAGCCGAAGCCCGGTACAGCAGAGGCAGCCCCTGTCTGGAGGGGAATCGTGCTTGCGTTCCGGGTCGTCAGTGCCCGGGGCTGGGCAGCAGGACCCCTGAGTCCTCATGCCCACCTCCCCCTGTGATCTCATGTGCTGATGCTCTTGCTGCAAAACGGACGCTCTGAGGACTGGGGACAGTGTCTAATCGCCCCCTATGGGCACTGGGCGGGGCAGCAACTGCCCAGCCTGCCCTTGGAAGTGATGCTAACTTCCATGCTTGCTCATGGAAGTCCACTCTGCCCTCTCTTACTATCCTCCAAAGTGGGGGTCACAGGAATGTGGCTGGCAGCTCCCAGCTGCTCCAGGCCTGCCTGTCCTGAGCATTTCTGGCCTCTGCACGGATAGGGCATCATGAGACCATAGCTCTGGGAAGATGCTCGTGTGCTCTCAGAGGGGAGGCATGTATATAAGGACTGGTGCTCCTATAGGATGGGAAGGGGCAGGTAGTTAGTTGCCCACACAAACCCACATAGAGTTAGAAAGTTAAAGTCGTTTCCATGCTTGAGATAGAACAGTGTTTGTCTAGTGCTTAGCAAAAAGGGTGAAGATCAGAATTCTGGCTTGTGTTGGAAATCATTGCTGCTCGTCACAAACGAGCAATGGGCATGGCATCGTTATTACAACAAGAAAAAGGGAAATACAGGAACCATTCTTCTCTGCTGAGCAAATTGAGATGAAGCAATTATTTCAGATTAGGCTGCAGCCCACAGTGTGGGTGCCCATTGGCAGGAGAAGTGTGAATGTTATGTCATGACGCCCACCTCCACCCCAGCTCAACTCAGCAAAGATGAGGAACACCAAATGTGTCACAGGGTCAAGGATAGAAATACCCCGTGATACCGGAGGGAGGCGAGAGTTCAAGACAATGAGCAAAATTGTTAAAAAGTCTGCTGTTTATACCAATGCTCTTCTTGGAGTCCCCCTTCTTGGAATCCTGGTCTTGGACTCTCTTTGAACCCCATGATTCCTTCAGATAGGCCCAGTACTGCACCTCTTTCGAAAGGAGCCCAGGGGCCCCTCATCAGGAGCTCTGAAGGGCCAGGAAGGAGTGGCATGGAATGCGTGGTGTGGGCCAGCGGCTCAGGGCTCACCTCCCCTGGGCTTCACTTTCTTTGGCTCCTCCTCAGCTTCAAAGCACTGCATTGTCAAAGGCCAAGGTTAGGATGCTGGATGAGGAAGAAAGGACTGTGGAGTCTGAATTTTAGTCCCTGACTTGAGCTAGAAGGGTCCAAGGATTCTGAAGCTTACACACGCTTACCCAGCTGGTGAGCTCCCCAGAGCCAGAGGCGCCACAGAGGTGGTGAAACACAGTGATTTTGCCAATGTCCCCACAGGGACCTGCAGTACAGGCAGGTTGAAGATCTGAGATTCAGGACCTTGGTCCCCTTGTAATTTACGACTGTGCAAAACAGGCCTAACAGTTTGGACTGAGAATGCTGAAGCCACTGTGTGTTTTCCTGTTGTGTGCTGTAGCTGCTTTAGGAGGTGGGGAGAGGCATGGGGGGAATGGCTGGCATGAAGCTGACTGAGCCAATGCTTTGCTTGCTGGATTTTGGCTGACTGACTTTGGGTCGCTGACTGTATTTGCATAGTGATGGCTTGCAAGCATCCACAGGAGGGATTACAATAAAGGTGTGTCTTCCTTCTGCTTGGGAGCATCCTTTGGTTTTATTTCCAGGGCAGAGGGTGGACCCTCTGCATTCATCCAGGCAGTTGCAAAGAATCTGGGTCTGGGGGGTGAGGTAGCTGTGGGGAGGAGTGAACAAGCCCTACCCTGAGGCCCTGGGCTGTTTCCAAGGAGCTGCATGCCACGCTGTCCCTAGCAAGACCACTGGCAGCCACATGAGTCTGAAAGGAAGCTCGGGCCTGGGCCCCAACCCCGGCGTTCAGAGAGCAACACACACTCTGTGGTTAACTTTCAGTCTACAGAGAGCCAGCTGACGGCCAAGGGCGATGTGGACACTAAAGATGAGTCAGAGGAGACGGTGCCCAACCCCTTCAGCCAACTCACTGACCAGGAGCTGGAGGAGTACAAGAAAGAGGTGGAGAGGAAGAAACTAGAACTTGAAGGTAAAGAATGTTCGTGCTTCATGATTTCATTTTGAATCCTCACTTGCTTCTCCTGTCTCTTGTCTGTCATAGCCTCAACTTGACCTTCCTGCCCAAGCACCAAATAATACTCTTACTAACATAATACTATTAATCACAATAATGACCCTCACTGCTCAGTGCCTAACAGTTACACGGTGTCTGCAGGACCTCATCTGACCCTCTCACCTGAGTATAAAGAGTTCATCCTTGTAGAGTGTTTAGAATAGCACCTGTAAATGTGGCTTAGGTCAGTAGGCACCAGATAAATGCTAGCAATAAGAAGATAATTATAGTAATGATAATTACTAATTATCTATAATCAGAGTTGGTATAATCCTTTTAGCCGGGCAATCAAAACTCTCCACGAGCTGACTTCTTTATGTCTTTTCCTCACTCCTCCCTTATTTCAGAATCTTTAGTTGAGACCATCTCTCCATCTTGACTCCCTGATGGATATTGATACTCATGACAGTTCTTATGCCCTTGTTCCTTCCTGGCATGGTTTCCCTTCTAGACGAGCCTGACCTGAAGTTACCCATACTTCAGGCTCCATCTCAAACCCCCCTCCAACTAAGAAACCTGCTGTGTCTCTTCCCCACTCCCCACACTGAGCTGTCCCTTCTCTTTGCTTCAGGAGCACTTGGGGTCTGAGACTCAGAAGTCAGCTCTTGGTTTCGTCCACCAGGTTAGGCTTTCATTCCCCGAGGGCAGAGTCTTGCTCCCCCATCATCTTCCCCACCCAGAGTCAGCCATCTTCCTGAGCACCAAGCAGGCACTAGAAAAATCCTGCCTGGTTTGCTTGGAGTTCTAATGTGCCAATCCAAAAAGTAGATAGAAAAATGTGGTGCTTTCTATTTCTAGGGATTGTTTGGACTGAACATGTAAATTAGATAAATTAAATAATAAAGGAGCTACATGCTAACAAATCATGGGCAGGAACACTCTTGTTGTCCATGTCCGAGGTGACATATTTCATCAGTGGATGTGCTTTGATGGAGGAAACAGAACATGACCCTGACTCCTCCCACTGGCCTCCCCCAGGATGGAGCATGAGGACCAAGTAGAAAGCAGTTTTTTAAATTCTCTCTCTCTCTCTCCCTCTCTTCTCTGCTTGGCCTTTATTCTGAGGCGGTTTTCTGTATTTTCAGGAGAGAAAGAAACTGCTGCAGAGGAGCCTGGCTCACCTGTAAAGTCTGCACCTGCTTCTCCAGCCCAGAGTCCAGTGAAGTCAGAGACAAAGAGCCCCGTCGTCTCCCCCTCCAAGTCTTTAGATGGTGAGTCGAGTTGAGCAGCTGGGAGGGAGGAAGGCGCATCCACAGGCTGAGAAAGGGTCTGCATGGAAGGTGGGGCAGGTGTGCACACTACAGGGACCTAGCCTTTCAACAGCTTTTCCCCTCTGCCATTTCTAGGAAGAGGGGTTACCAAATTTAAGCTTGTTCCATTCACAAGCTGTAACCATACGCCTTACAGCTTGAGCCTGGCCTAAGCAATGATGACTAAGTTAATGACTGGCTCACAGCCTTCTCATTGCTAACTCAGACTGGATTGGCTGATAGGCCTTTCAGGATGCACCAGCCCAGTCCTCAGCCCTTAATGTGCCCCAGGATCACCTAGGGATCTTGTTAAAAAGAAGATGCTGATGCAGCCAGTCCAGGTTGGGACCTGAGACTGCAGTTCCAGCAAGCTCCCAGGTGAGGCTGATGAGGGCATTTTCAACCTTGACTGCACTTGGGAATCACCTGGTGGAGGTTTAACAATCCTGATGCCTTCCTGGGTTCCATACCCAGCTATTCTGAGTTGAGTGGTCTGGCGGTGGAGCTGGGAGACACGCAGCCTGGAGTTTTAAGATCCCCCAGGGGAATCTAATGTGTAGCCCACATGGAGAACCACTTTACCAGGTACTAATTTAGAGAACCGAGTCCTAGGCCTAACTAAACTTTAGAAAATCAGATAATCTTTGGGCCTCAGTTTCCCTGTCTGTCAAATGGGGCTACTAATAGTTCCCCTTTTTAAGGTTCTTATAGGTAGAGGGCGAGTTGTAGATAGAGACATACTTTGAAAGAGTAAAAGCATGATTTAAATGTAAGATTCAATTATGATTAATAATATTATGGTGGATTATAATACTTTTATAGTCCATTCCACCCAGATCACGAAAGGGTCTTTAATGAGCTCCTGGAATCACTCCTGGCCATGAACAATCCTCCCCTGGCCCCTCAGAGCCCTCGCCAAAGAGGGCTGTACCACCACGCAGGGAGCAGCAGCTTGGTGGCCTGATGGAATCTTCTCCCGCCCGGGCTGAATGGCCACATATGTGGAAGCTGCTAGAATCCCCCAACCCCTGAACATCCTCCACAGATGAATTGCTGCCTGAGAGCAGGCCCAGTGTTGCTAGAGAAAACCCATCTGCTTGAGGCCAGAGCCCCAAGCGGATGTGCCCCAACTGTGTGTGTTCATTGTGTCTCATCGTGGTGTTGTCAACCTGTCTCCACAATGTCTTCCTTTCTCTTCCCATTTGTGCCTTCATCAAAGGAGTTTCCTCTGATTCTGAGTACTTGTCTCTGTAGTAAGTATAGAGAGGCTGTTTACTAACTCACTCAAACACTCTCAACTGGGGAGGGAGGGCTTTTTCAAAATAAATACATTTCTCCCCAGTTATTATTATTATTATTTTGCAACTTATAACCCTGCCTTTGGGAGGTTTTCTGGTTATAAAGTTCATGACCAATTCCATATGTGCTGTGCATGAACAAGGCTTCCCTGAAGAATATGCACGTGTAGGACGCACTCATGCACAAACACCAATACTCACACATGGCACACCACCCAGAAGCCACAAGCCCACAGTGAGTGGGCAGTGGGGCCAGCTCCTGGGCACCCTCTGTGGTGACGTGCTTATGGCCCTCAGGAGCACATCTACATCTTTATTCTTCATGTATGGGCACCTCTACGGAGCCCGTGACCTCTTCTAGGGCTGTGGGCCAGAACCTGAATGACCTAGAGACCAACTGCCTGATAGGGATGCATAGAGCACCTGACGTGACTGCTGTCTTCAGCATCCCCAGGGCATGCGTACCTACTGCATGCAGGAAATCCGGGCTGGCGGGGAGGCTCTTGGCAGGCGTGGGACAAGGGCTGGCAATTCCATTTTACCTCCTGGAAGCCTCCTGAAGCAACCTTTGCTGCTCCGCGGGACAGAGGGCAGGAAGAGGTCTGTGTGACGGGTGGGATAACTGCCGACCCACCTCCTGACATCATCGCTACTGCAGCAGGACCCCACTTTTCTCCTGATCTATGCTCCTGTAGAGAGCACACCGAAGTTGTTAGAAAAGTGAAGGTGTTCCCTGAAGACTCTCCCTGTAATGCAGACAGAGCTGAGGAGCGTGGGCCTCCTTGAAGCAAGTCCCACATGATGAGGCATAAGCTTTAGCTACCTAGGGTGACCAGTGTGAAGTGGGGTTAGTGGCCTTGGCCAGCTGCCCAGTGGCTTGCCCAGCTCCTCAGGGCAGACGGGGCTGACCCTCTGAGCAGCATCTGAACTTCCACATTTAACACACCCATTGGATCAGGGGTGGCTTTTTCACCAGGTGTCACCATGCTCTCAGGTCCTCTTTTGCTGAGTCACCTCAATGTCATTCCTCATCTGTCTCCCTGACCCCTACTCTATCAGCCTCTCTTAAGGGCAGTCTTTCAAATCCTCTTCCTTTATACCTGGTCATCTTTGTCGTTGCCTTCTCTTGAACTAGCTCCTGACTGTCCCTGACCCTGCTGACTCCATCCCCAAGTAACCCCTCAGGAGTACCAGCTATGCCTGCAAAGAAATAGCACTGCATTGAACATCAGAAGATCAGCCCTGTCACTCACTAATTTAGCCATGTCAAATAAGTCAATTAAAAACACTGCAGAATGAAGGAACAATGTGAATCCTTGCCCTTTCTAACTCATGGCATTGTTATCAGGATAAAATGAGCTAATAAATATGAGGACCTTGTCACATGCTTAGGCAAATTAGTTCTCATTGGGTACTATGTTCTCAGGATTGTGAGAGAGAATACACTGCTTGCTATTTTAAACCACTAAATTTTGGGGTGGTTTGTTATGCAGCAATAATTATTAAATTGTGGTGCATAGTAAGAACTGGTTTTATGGAAATTAGTTCTCCTGTAGGTTGACTGGTCTCAGCAGGATGGTTCTTTTGCTCCTGATGTCAGCTGGGGCTGCAGTCATCTGGGAACTTGACTCAACTGGAACTTCAAAGATGGTGCATTCACATGGCAGGTGCCTTGGCAGCGGCAGCTGGAAGGCTAGGCTCAGCCGGGACACTGGGATGGCTGGGACTCTATCTACTTGTCTGTCTGTCTGTCTGTCTGTCTGTCTGTCTCTGTCTCTGTCTCTCTCCACATGATTGTAGGGCCTCTCCATGTGGCCTCTCCATGTGTGTTTCCATCAGGGTAGTCGGACTTTACACGTGGCGGCTCAGGGCTTCTGGAATTATAAAAGCAGAAGCTGCTAGGCCTTCTGAAGTCTTCGGCCTGAGGCTGGCTGGCTCAGTGGCACTTCCTCTGAATTCTCTTGGTTACTGTGAGCCACAGGGTCAGCCCGAATTTAATATGGGAGGGGACAACACCCAAGGGTGAGCGCTTAAAAAAAGGTCAATGACGCATGCAAATGTAGAATGACTCTATTGGCAAGAGGAGGGCAAGATCATTGTCAAATGTCAAGGGAAGTTTGAGCCAGACTTTGGGGAGATATGTACTTGAACTGGCAGACAGGAGTAGAGCCAGGGTTTGTGGCCAGGAATCTGGGGGAGTGGGAGTTGAAGGCCGAGGGACGGTGAAAAATTAAGTATAAGAGGTGGAGTGTCCAAACAAGCTCTGTGCCTCCCTTCCTCCTCTCGCCTCTGCTAGTCTTTCAGTCCTTTGTTTCCCAATTCAAGGGACCTGGATGTGGACCCTGGCTGCCACGTTCAGTCTTGCTCCAAATCACCCACTTTCCCAATTCCCCTTTCCCCTCCTCCTGTTTCCTGGTCACCATCCTTGGACAGAGCCTTCCATTTTCTAGCCTGTGTCACACACCACCTACTCCCACACCTGTCCCCTACTCCCAGAGCTCTAAGTGCCCCCACCAAGTAGAGAAAGCCAGTAGTTTTTTTTTTAGGCGATGCTAGAGGTGGGGCTCCCATCTGCTCCTCACTCCTGCGGCCCTTCCTAGTTTGGTTTTCAACTAGCTGAAGACCAACTGAGAGTTCTGTGTAGTTCTCACCTTAATTCTCCTGGGCTGTTAACAGAGGAGGTTGACTGGGCTCTCAGAGCTGGGCCTTGATGCTTTCCAGGAGCCCAGTAAGTGTTTATTTCTGGAGCTGTGCCCTGCTGCCTCTTCTCTTGGCCAACCAAACCCTCCAATGGTTTCTGTCCCCTACAGCTGAGGGAGTGGTGGCTCTAATTTGGAGCTTGGGTCCTTCAAGGTCCCCTGTGCCTCTACTAGCCCCATTTTCCATTTGTTGCTCCTTCCAAGACAATTCACAGTGGTGGAGCTCTGAGATCCTGGTGGGTATACTCAGTGTGGCCTCGATTTCTGGATGGTAGGAAGAATCTTGAGTGCTGTTCTTCTTTCTAAACCAAGACACGGGCCAGGGGCTGTAGATGAGGCTGACAGCAGGGCAGGTGTGGGTGAAGGGCATGGATGAAATGCACTGTTGGATCAGGGATACCCATCCACCAGGGAAGGAAATGGGACCTGGACAGAAAGTGGGAGCCCCTCTTATCCACAGTTGTATTCATGGAGCTGGAAGGCAAGTACTAAAATCATCTGAGAGGGTCAGGCGTGAGAAACATGTCTTAATGTGTCATCCAAGCAAGTGGCCTGAAGTGAGGACCTGGACTGAGGTTGCAGAACCATGGGAGGGACAAGAACCCAGGAGGAGGAGAGTGGGGACAGGGGACTTGGTACAGGAGACAAAGGCCAGCACACACGTGTGTACATGGCTGGGTCCAGTTCAGTTTAGAAGGCTCAGGCTGGGATAGACAGGAAAGATGATGAGGAAGGTGTTGGCTTGGTTAGAACAAAACTGTTCACACATTAATTTGTCTGCTCATGCATTTGACCATTCATGGGTTCCACAAATATTTATTTAGTATCTTTTATCAGCTAGTTACGTAGATAATTTAGATACAGTCTTGCCCTAATTTATTTCAGTTTTGAGGGGGAGATAGGTATAAACGAGGAAGTGTGGTCATTTTACAGTTGCTATTGTGGACAGAAAGGAGGGAGTGATCAATTCTACTTGGAAGCGGGGATGGGGTCAGGAAAGGCTTGAAGGAAGAGGTAACACTCAAGCTGGTTCATTGTATGGGCTGAAGGTTGGGACACAGAGACGAGAGAGAAGGGCCGTCCAGACACAGAGGGAAACAGGCTGGGGTGACAGGGAGGGGTCAAAGGACAAGAAGGTTGATGAGGTCAAATAGCAGGTGAAGTCAGGGGACTAGACAGGGAGATGGTTGTGACTGGACTAGTTTACTGCATTCAAGAGCACTGCCAGGTGACAGCCCTGGAAATCCATGGCGGGAGTGGAGGGGAGTAGAGGCTATAGTTCAAGGCTGTTGCAGAACTTGGCTGTTAGGTGATGACAGAACATGGGCTGGACAGTAGGAATGGGAGCCAACGGCTGAGGTCTCTGGCACTAAGAGAGAGACAGTCCTCAGAAGTCGTCTGACAGAGGACTTTGACTTGCCCAGCCAATTTCAGAAGTTGTAAAAGACCTCATTATAAGACCTTCCCTGGATAGTTAAACCAGCCCATTCTAACTGTCCCCAAATTTACCCACTTCTGTCCCATCTTCCATGTAACCATACATTTCCCCAGTCTTTACCCTGTCAAGAACCCTAGCCTTTCCCAAAGCCCATCTTCACCCACTCTTTCTGTAACACCAGTCTTACACCTGCCGCCATCACTGACATTCCCATACAGCGGATGGTGCGGGGTTCCTTCTTGTGATCTCACTCTCACACTCATACTCATACACACTCCTCAGTGTCCCGCTGTGAAAAGAACACTGAACTGGATGGCAGGAGATGGATGTCTCCCCCCTCTTTTACTGTTGACTTCATATCTATAAAGTAGGGAGGAGATGAGATAGACAATCTTTCTATTCCTTTCTATTTTTCAAAGTGTGGTTTTATAATTTTTCTTCCTCCTTCCCCATCCAGGCATTCCAAAGCTCAAGTGGATACAGAGTGGGATGAGAGTGAGAAGTGGGAGAAATAGCCACAGGAAGGTTTAGATGCTGGGGTTTGAGCGGTTCTCACCTTGAAGATGGTGCCAATCCTAACAGGTTCCCTCCAGACAGGAGAAAGACCTGGGGTGGGGCATGGGGTAGTGGCTACTAGAATGGGACCACCACGTACCTTCCCCTTTTGGTTAATCTTTATAGCTTAGAAACACGGGGTCCGTGTCACTCAGGAACTCCATCCTCTTTCTGCCTTCCCCCCTCTGCCTACTGAGAAGGCACTCTCCATTCTTCCAAAAGTTCCTCACTGATTTAAGAAATGAAATGGGTATGAAAACCTGTAATTGCCATACATTTACTGGTGAAACTGGACCAGTTACAATTCCTAGATGCATCCACTGAGTTGTACGTGACACTGCTGTTCCCCTTCCTACAGCCTCTGTCCTCACCTGTGTCTTTCCCCTCGTTCTGTGCCTAGAAAAGCCCTGAACTGGGCCCCAGCTGGGCCCACTGCCATATTTGGATGTCATCACTTGTTTGCATTTGTAGACAAGAGCTTGGAGTTACTGACCCGCCAAGGGCTTGTTCCTAGAGTGGCCCATGAGGAAGGGGTGCAGGTTTGGATGAGAGCCCTGCCTACCCCATACCCCTACCATGTCAGCCTGCCCTCCCATTGCTCTAGACTTACTTTGTAGAATTACCTAGAGATGATTCTGGTAACCCCAGGTAATAAAAGCTCTCACCGGAATGATGTCTTATGGGCGATGTCTTTTGGTCTTTTTCCAGAAGGTGCTAAGAAGACGGAAACAAGCAAAGCCACCACAGAGCCTGAAACAACGCAGCCAGAAGGGGTGGTGGTCAACGGGAGAGAGGACGAGCAGACAGCAGAAGAAATTCTCAGCAAGGGCTTGAGCCAGATGACCACCAATGCCGACGCGGATGTTGACACCTCTAAGGACAAAACTGAGTCGGTCACTAGCGGCCCCATGTCTCCAGAAGGCTCACCTTCCAAGTCTCCCTCAAAGAAGAAGAAGAAATTCCGAACCCCATCTTTCCTGAAAAAGAGCAAAAAGAAGGAGAAAGTGGAGTCCTGATGCGTAGTACCCTGGGGCTCCCATCTGCACCCTCTCTTCCCCTCTCCCCTTCTCCCATCTCCATCCCTGAAGCACAGGGCCAAGGAGGGATAGAGTAGGACCCTGGACCACATTCTGAGGGGGGAACATAGAGATCTCCCGACCAACCCCTCATTTACAATTGCCCCAGAGAAATCGGTGACTTTCCAAAGGTCACCGTTAGTGGCAGAGCCTGCACTAGAATTCAGGCCTCCTGGCTCCCAGTCCAGCGCTGTGTCCACTATACAACACTGCCTAGTTGTGGGCTGCCTTTGTGAGGGTGCTGCCCACTGATCTGAGCCCCGGGCAGGAGAGCCAGAGTGGGTCACAAGCTCTCACAGGCTCAGACTAAATCAGATCAAGGCTTTTCCCGAACAAGTTCCTTTTCCTCAAGGGAACCCAATCTCCTGCTGATGGAGCTATCAGTGTATCTAGAAATCTCTCTTCTCTTTTTCATAGGGTCCCTGCCTTGCTGCTCGCAGTAACCAGACAAATTGACCTGCCCCCTCCACTAGAAGTTTATCTTTGTTCCCAAGGGCTGATGGCTTAGCTTGTGCTCCCCCAATCATGAACCCTGAGCTTTCTTCATGGAACCTCCTGAATGACAGATGGAAGAGTTGTAACAGTTGACAGACATAAAGGCAAGCCAAGTCAGCCATAGGATGGGAGATAATTTAATCTATGTAAGAAGCCAGGTACTTGACCCATTCAAATCTCAGGCAATTTGAAAGTAAAACCCAATTTAGCTTAGAAAATAGTTGTCTTGTGCTCAGGGCAGAAATTTGAGGAAATTTAGATCTTCTGTTGGCTTTGGGTTATAAGAGGAGGATCAAAACAGCACAGGAAACGCTATGCCTTTCTAGCTTTGCATGACACACAGAGCGATGTGGCTCTACCCGTCTCACTCTTGTCCAGCGGTTAGGTGTCTCCTGACCTCTCAAACCCAGAAGCACTGGCTCATAGAGTGGAACTGGCATCTTATCCTTGAGTTCCAACTCAGTCATGCTGGGTCCTGCAGAGAATGAGATGAGCCCTTCAGGATTAATCAGATAAATGCTTGGGTGTCCCCTGCTCTGTCACTATCCATTCACCTTGGGGCCTGGTAATAGCCACAGCTATTGGTTTAAGTGCCAACACTATGTTTTCATATCTTTCCATGGGGCATTGATTAATGAACATTGTTGGCTCCTAAAAAAAAGACAATCTATTCTCTTGAAAGCACAGTGTCTTCAAAGAATATTTTCCCTTTTCATCCTGGTCATTTTTGAGCATTCTTAATCATAATTGTCCATGTTTGAGCCCTTACTGCGCACGCGCGTGTGCGCACACACACACACACACACACACACACACACACACACACTGTGCAGGTTTTACACACATTATATCCTTTAACTCTCATGATAATCCTGTGATGTGGGTAAGATTATTCCCATTTTATGGGTAAGGAAACTGAGCCCCCCAAAGGATAATTGACTTGTTCTAGGTGACTTGGCTAGAAAGACCCAGAGCCTGGATTTGACCCAAGTCAGTCTGAACCCAGAGCCTTTGCTCTTAACAGCTATGGTGATCAGAAAACTTTAATCCCCAAGGGTGGTGGTTTTAGTCCAGGACGATTTCTGTGACTGGTCTCCACGGCATAATGTCAGCACTTGAAATGAAGGTAGGAAACTACCTTGTTCTCTCTCATCAGTGTGTGTTAAGTTCCTGGTTAATGAGGACTGTGGCGAGGCCAGTATGGACCTCTGACAAAGGAGAGGCAAGGGCCTTCTGGTCGCGGCAGGAAATACCATTCATTGTTGTGCTATTTCTTGAGAAGGAGGGAAACTGACATATGACTAAGGAAAACCCAGTGCTGTGTCTCACTAGTGCAGATTCCCAAATGCTACCCCTGCACCCCCGTACCCCCACACCCTCACACCCTGGTCCCTCTCCTACTTTCTGATTAGGTCTTAAAATGGACAGCCCAACAGTCAGGCACCACTGCCTCAGAAAAGTCTGTAATATGGGAAATGCCTTTAAAAGCCAATGCTTTGATGCCTTCTTAAAAAAAGTAGATTTCACATTCATTCATTCACCCATCCATTCCTTCACAATTTTGTTAAGCACCCACTAAAGGTCAGGCATTAGGCTGACATGAACAGAAAACAATCATTGTGACTAGAATAATCAGTGGAAAGCCATGTTAAGAGAAGGGTGGAGTGGCTACAACCATTGATGCGGCTTTCTGTGTTTGAGTGGCTCAGAGATGGTGTCGATTGACTTTGCATTCAACAGGTCCACTTCATTCCCTTTACAACAGTGAGGCCTCATTTAGGTGAAAATGCCAGAGCTTGCTGGAATTTGAGCATCGTCCTTGGAATTCATGCCAACCTTGCCATTATCCATTTGTTCATTCCTCGTGCATTCAAAGAACACACATGAGCTTGTGTCACGGGCTGGGCCCAAGGGCAGGACTTTCCTAGCCTGCAGGAAGTTCATAAGTAAAAGAGTCATGTGGACAAGTTACAAAATGGGCAATGGTGCAGAGGTGGCATTAGGAAGCAATGATTTACTGTCTTCTGGGCCAGAGAAACTGTCTTGAAAGGAGTGATGGTTGAATTAGGTTTTCAAAGCAGCAGAATTTTCCAGGAGGACAAAAGGGTTGGCGGGACCTTCTGTGATGACGGAAGAGCATGTGCAGAGGCATGGAAGCATAAAACTCCATGATGTGTGCACTCAGCAATTCAGGACTGCCGGAGCATTAAAATGTAAAGTGGGGGTAGGGGCAGGGCTGGATCATAAAGAAACTTGTAGAAAGTATGAAGGAGCTAGACTTTATCATGTATGGGGGTTAGAGCTGCTGAGTCATGATCAGGCTTGGATTTTAGAAGAATTTTGGTGGCTGAGTGAAGAATGGACGAAAGGAGTAAAGGATGGGAGAGCTCCTCATAATGAGGCCCTTCTGAAACGTCAGTACTAAACCATGTTTGGTGGCCCGTCTTACACGACATTGTCCTTTATAGTAAATAGGGAGCTTCCGGCACAGAATTCATTTCCATCAGATTATTTGGTTAAGGCATCTTAAGCAATTGAGATACGGAGAGGGAAATATTCAGAGCTAATAGTTAGCAGAGTTTCCAGTTCTATTTTGACTTGTGTAGAGATGCTGTTGAACAGTCTGCTAATTTCTTCTTCCCTAGTACATGCTGGGTGTGGCACGCTTCGCTCCAGGCTCGAGGCTGTGCACTATGATGCTATTAAAGCAGATGTGTAGTCCAAACAGAGCCACAGGCTTTTAGGGCGACAGGAGGGGCCATTGTCTTTGGCTCTGGATAAAAGCTGGCTGAACACTTGGACCGGTATCTGTCTGGAGAAAATGTATATATGAAGAACTCAGAATTGGCAGTCCATAGGTTCACTTCAGGTAAAGCCACTGTGCTTGGATATACCGCAGGAAAGGGATGAGAAAATGCAACCAATCTGCTGTGCTGTGGCTGAAATGAGAGATTTCTGAGGCTGTTTCCACAGGAAGATGGGCAGAGGTGGGGAAGCAGAGAGAGAGATGGTCACAGAGAGACAAGTTTGGTCCCAGTGACTCTGTGCACTGGTGGCTGGCACCCAGCAGGGGTGTGGGACATCCATCTATACCACATGACCTTTCCTCAAACTTTGCAAAGAGCACTGCCAACAGACAACCCCCAGCCTAGGTATGAGCTCCATAAAAGCCTCATGGCCTGTAGGTGACCAAGAAACTCCTGCTTCGGCCACGTTATACACAGATAACAATAATTTCCCTCAACACTCTTGTAATGAAAATGGGCTCTTCCTCTGCAGATGATAAGTTAAAGGACCTGGGGGAGGGGTCGGATGAACCCCCCATAAAGCATTGTCCTTATACCACTGACGTGTATACTGAGCCTTGAATCCTGCTCCCTGTATCTAATACTGTGCCACTCATTCCTGAATGTGGCAAGACAGTCACTCAGATGTCGTCTATCACTGTCGTAACAGAGGTCTACTGCCCCTGTCAACATGGGGAGAAATGCCGTAAAGCCACTTCTCTGGTTGCATGGATTTGAAAGAACCATTTGCCCAAGAGCGCCATTCACTCCTGAAAGTCTGAAAGATGAAAGAGTTTGGATTTTTCCATGCAGGCATTCACAGGGATACGGGGACACACAGCCCACCATTGACCTGTATGCCATCTTTTGCATAAGAGTGACATTCATGTTCTAGTTCCAGGCCAAGTTTCAGTTTCTGACTATTGAACAAATGAGAAAACATATAGCACTTACTCATTTCTCTCAAGGGTGGGTCAGCAGGAGCCCTTTGAGTTGGCTGGCACAGTTGCAGTTGACTCTGAGCCTAGAGGAAACAGGTCTTCCATCTCTCACCACTTGAGCAGACTCTCTAGGACAACAACATTCAAAGAGTCTGAGAAGAAATGAGAGAGGGGATGGATCTATGCCCTTCACTCCCACAGAAGAGACAGGGCACCTCACAATTCAAAACCTCATGGGACACCTTACTGCCAGTGTGCCACATCTATTCCAAAAGAGACAATTTAATATGAGAAGTCAGAGGCCTTGAACTGACTCTAATGAAATGTGCTCATTGGTTATTTACCTGCATAGGTCCACTTGTGCCACAATACAAAAAAGCATACACGGTAGAGCGATTATTTCCAAATGCCCTGTCTAACCAACCTATCCCCTTGATGGGACATACTTCTTGCCAAAAATAAGAGCATCCACCTAGAGACCTGTTACCAAGGCACACCCAGCAGCCTCTTGTGCCTCTCGGCGAGGAGCCACCCTCACCCAGGAATCAAAATGGAAATTTCAGGTGGGGAGTCCTTCTTTAGTGGAGAAAGCTTTCGTCACTTTAATATAGACAGGCCTCTCTTTTTAGGCACAGTTAGAAAGAATCTCCAGATGGGGGTGTTCTTAAAAATACAGAAGTAACGGTTTGCATTGATTCGTACTTAGGTGGTGTTAGGTGTTGTTGAATTGATGATTGGTGCCAATTGCCTCAAGATGTCCCCAAAAGTTGGATTATGGCTTTGAGAAATTGGGGCTTGAAGATGGAAGAGAAATGGCCACTATTAATGACCCAGGTAGGGACTCAGGTGGGGCCAGAGCCAGAGCCTGAGCCTGGGTGTGGAAAGGTACCAGCAGCTTTCCCAGTGTAGTAGACTCCTGGGCTCCCTGTCTCACCACGTGTCCCAAGCAGCTGGATGAGGCCAGCTGTGATGAGGCAAGTCCCCTATCCCCATATCATGTAAAGACAATGTTGTGAGGGTGGCGGGGAAGTAACTATCAAAGAACCCCAAACTCCTCTCCCTCCCAGCAAATCATCTTGTATTACTTTTAGAAGCTAAAAGGCCAGATCTTCCTTTTAAAGTGAATCGAAAGGAGGATGACAGTTGGATCAAGGACAGAGGGGGCCACGTTTAAATGCATCAAAGCCCTTACAAAAGGGAATGTATTTTAGGGACTTCTGCCCTCACATTTCAGCTCCACCTCATGCCTCTCCGGTCTGCTTTGTGGGAGATTGTTTGATCTACACGGTTGGCTCCACCTTCCAATTCCTGCAATCTATGCTGTAACTGCTGAGTTGCTGCAGAGCCTGGGCTGGCTTGTCCTGGTTGTGGGGGTCTAGATAGAGAGTGCGGCGTTCTCTAAAGCTGTGGATGGTTTCAGTGAAATGTGTGTGTCTGACAATCGTCTCCCTTGTACATACCTTGTCTGTGTTTAGTAGCTTGTCCTAGTATTGTGAGGTTTCAAATAGAGGTTCCATGTAAATACTCTTCCTGCTACTGAAATGCCAGCCTCCCCACCCCCACCCCTCGATCATGCAGCAGCCCCACTAATGGTTTTACCTTTCTCTATGCTAACACTTTTGGAGCCACTGACGTGCAGATGATGATTAGTTTCTTGGGCTTTTATTTTGCAATTTTATATATATAACACACATATATTATATATATAATATATATATTTATGGGTTGGTTTTGTATAGTTTTCTGTTTGAATCTCTGAGCACCAAAGCTACCCTTGGATTTTCTAGAGAATGTTCTAAAACTGCTTCCTGACACTTCCCGCCCCCCCCCCCTGCTTTGGTGTTTGTGGTGCTGGGTAGTACATCTGAGTCTATCTGCCCAGGGATGTCTGTATGTACGTGCTCTTATCTCACCTGCAGATATTACCCTAGTAAATCTACTGTGCTTGGCTTCCCAGTGTGTGACCCATCTCTGTCAGCCACCAGATCTCCCAGCTCCCAGGGGAGCAGAAGCCAGAGAGGGGATCTATGTATGGCAACATCTGACCACATCCTTATCCTGGAAACCGTTCCTTACACATGCACAACTGAACATGTGGGTCATTGGATTCTGATTGGGGAGGGAGGCAATAAAATGTTCTAGTCCTCTGAGAAGGGCAAGGCTATGTGGATTTGCAAACAGCTCTATGGAGGAAGATCGATTTAGATGTGTTGGGATTGGGGGAGGGGGTTGTAAAAACAAACATGTGGATATCCCAGCAGGGGCAGATTGGGAGAGGGGTGGGGCTGGAATGGAAGCGGGTGTCAGGCCAGAATCAGGAGACTGGGGAGAGCTAAGCTGTCATCTAAAACAGTGAACGGGGAAGCGGAGATATTAGGGGATAGAAAGAAGAGGGAAAGCCCATTTTGTTCCCTCCCAGCTCTTCTTGTCTCAAGTAAGGATCCTAGGATTTGATGCAGATCCACACACATAGGTCAGGCATTGTTTAAATGTCTTTACGTAGCACCTCATTCAATTCCCATAACACCCCGAGGATGGCCCTATTATCATTACCCACTTTTACAGATGAAGAAACAGGTTCTGACATAAGGAAATCTTCGTGGGCCACAGGTTAATGTGTGGTGAAGCCCAAATTCAGACTGAGGTCTTCTAGGTAACGGAGGTTTACTCTTCCCACTCCTTTCCCCTACTCAAGTGTCCTGAACAAAGCCCCATAAACGTACATAGTCTCGATCATCGCTCACAGCCCACTGCTTTCTGGTGATGTTTCCCCCCAGTGCTGCCGCCTACATCCAGGTACCCTGTAGCGCCCATCGCTCCTATGGAGCTAGCCCCAATGAGCTCAGGCGCCCCCCTGTCCCATAGCCACCAGTCTCTCCTCTCCTGAAGTCACTGAGGAAACCTCCTGTAAGCAACACAACTTCCCAGCTCTTTCGTCTCACAGCTGTGTGCACTGATTGGTTAGTATGCTGACCATACAACTCCCTACTGTGAAAGGTGGCGATGCAAACCCACAAGTTGAATTCTTCCTCCTCATCCTCCATTTCCACTGCAGAGACTAAAGGGATACAAACATGGGAACAGAGCGCCCTCTACCTGCCAGAAACGCTGAGGAATTTCTTCAGAGGATACAGCGCAGGAGAGGAGTCTTAGGGCCAAGCAACCCGCGCGCCACCGCAGGGAGAACCTGCCTGGAGAGGAAGTGGAAAGGACCCATCGAGGAAGCCAGCTCCCACTGCTGTAATAGCTGAGAGCACTGAGAAAGGGCCAGGGACACTGAGGAGCTTGGGGGCGGGGTCTGGCGCCAATCCTGGCCTCAAGAGCAATAAACAAGGTGCCAGGGTCCACAGTGCAGGAACCCTGTCTGCAGGGTCTAAGTAATGAGAAGGGGAAGGGGGCAGGGGGTGCTTCACTCAGCACCAGGATCCTGACAAGAACAAGGTGCCATGACCCCAGCTAATGCCGGCTACCTTAATACATATGAAAAAGGAAACTTCCAGCTAAGGTGTTGTGGATTCTACTGCTGCCACACAGATAACTAGGTCCCTGAACTGACAAAATGTAACCATTAGAAATAGAAATCTTTCCTTTTTTCTGTTGTTGGGCCGACTTGGTTGAAGAGCCACACATCCCTGACAAGAAGCATCTTTCATCTGCTAGAGATCCCACACTGTAAAGAATAGGCATGGAGGGGAAAAAAAACACGTGGTAATGATTTCGTAGCTCAAAAGTAGGAAACCAAGAAAATAGAAGACATGCTCCTCAGTGAAGCGGAGTTACCACACAAAGCAGGAGGAAGGCGAAGAACATTTAATTAATATTAACTTATCAGGAAAGACCAGCCAGTCGTGAAAGGGGAGCACTTTAAATCAAGAAAAGTTTTTCTTTGGGGTGATGAAAAACAATGCCATATTTTGAAATGAAGCATAGGCAATCAACAGCAGGTTGATGAATGAGGAGAACGTAAAGGTACGTTTAGACATGTAAGGATCCCAAGTCCACCACCTGAAAAAAATTACCCAATCATGTATTATCTAGCTGAATGGGAAATCAATGTAAGTAAATAACTTCAAGACTGGGCAAGACATGGGGTTAAAAAAATGATAGTGAGCAATTAAATTTATAGCGAAGTCTAGTTGATTATAGTGAATTTAACAAACTTAAAGAAGTTGTTTAAAAAGTAGTTATTGGAACACACACACGTACACACATTTGGAGCAGCAGAAAGGCAAAATATGCTAAATTTATAATTCTTGGTGAGAGAGCTCTAATTCAATATTTAATTTTTTAAATCGTTAGAGGATACTGGTTCAATTACATATAAAGTTGTGAACTTAGAATTGATTATAAAAAATTAAAGAAAAGTTACATTAAAAGGCAATATAGCTTCCAAGTCATTAAAGAGAAAAATAATAAAAAATCAATAGAAATCCAGCTAAGACGGAATAATAGAGACCATATTTACCATCCTGCTTAAAATAACAAAAAAATGGATGAAATATATGAAACAATGATTTTTAAGACACTTGAGAACGATCGATCTTCCATCAAGAGACAAGAAAACTTCCTTGTCTTGCCACTTATCTATACCGACTCAGGCTACCAGCCACCTTACTGCCACTACCAAAGATTTCCACCAGGAGGCGACATTTCCTTTCTCTGCTTCCACGTTGCAGAAACCCTCCCAAGCAGGATTTGTTCCAGCAGTGCTCTCATGGGTCTTAGTCTCTTTTTGTCACTAGCAAAGGGATCAAGGATGAGCAGTGAGCCTCCTTAATCATTCAAGACATAAGAACCTATCTGATTTCTGAGCAGTCCTTAGCTCTTATCTAATATCCAGTACTCTGCCCAGCTTCCAGGGTCCCCATCTTTTGGGCAAACTGCCCCACGGCCCCGGTTCATTGGGATTTGTTCTCCCTGCCGAGAGGCCACGCACGATAGTGAGCAGGGTTCCAGAGCTCTGGAGCCCCACTGCGTGGACTGAATCCTACCCCTGGGCTCATGAGGTTTGTGTCCTTGGGTAAGTCACTTAACAGCCCTGAGCTACAGTTTCCTCACCTGTAAAATGAGAAAATAATCAATAAGGGAAAAAAATTAGAATTTTGGGGGATTAATTTTTTGATGATTTCAGATTATTTAAATTTTGGATTATACAATGGGGGACACCACAAATTTTTCACTGCTTCAGACTTCTGAAGGTCAGCTTCTACTATTCTTAAAATGAATGCATGCACACACATGCTCGCTCACACACACACATACACACACACAAAACAACATACATATAACTAATCACATATATCCCCAGACACACACACACACAGTCACACTCATGCATCCCCAACAGCCCCCCGCCCCACCACACACACACACACACTCTCTCTCTCACATGGACCTGGCATCCTTCTGAATAAACTTCAAATTGCTTATTTCTGTTTCCATTGTTTCATCTGTTTAAAATCTCCTGACTTCAGAGCAAGCAGCAGGAGTCCCTCCTCTCTAGAGGTGGTTCTTTGCCTTGTACGATCTCAGCATGCAACAATGTTGACCAATATAACTGCCCTGAACCTTTGGGGGTGCAGGGCAAGAGTATATGTGGAAGTCCACACATTATATACCTAAATACTTAAGAGTTTTAAATCAAGCTAAACCTTGTAAGTTAAATATGTTCTATCCTTCTACCTTTATAAATATACATAATAATGAGGTGGAAGGCTAGGTTCAAATTTAGAATTCTCAGACTCATTGGCGTTCCACAGACGAAAATAGTAGTGTGAGGCGAGCTGATCCCCAGTTTCTAACCACTAGCCTGAGGCCTGTTACCCTTCTCTTCCCAATGCTGCGTCCATCCCATGCCACAGCGGCCTTGTGGACACCTGTGTGGACACCCAGACCTCATGTCCAGGCTCTGTCCATAACCCCCATGCCAACAGCTGCCCTTGGCCACTCTGAGTCCTTGGGAATACGAACCCTGCAAAGAACCTGTGCAGACGCTAGAAGTGGGCTAGGGGCTGTTTCCACTGGGCATTCTGGGGTCCTGGTTGCCAGAGCATAGGGCAGCACCGGATGGGCATGTCGACTTGGCATTGCTGACTTCACCCTGTGCAGGGTGTGGCCAGAAAAAGGATCAGAGCAGGGGCCCCTCTTGTTGGAGCCTAAAGGCAGGAATGCTGGGAAGTCCTAAGGAGGAGCTGGAAAGCAGTGGCTCCCTCTGTGAAGTTCCTGAGAAGGGAGGAGGATGTCCTCGTTCTTATTAAACAAAAAACAAAAGTTCACCATGGGCTTGGGTGGGAGGTGTTTTGTTATAATAAGGGAAGACAAACACTTGACAAGATCTAGTCCTAGATGGCTGGTTGATTTGCCAGGTTAATGAGGGCTGAATGAAACCAAGTCTCCATCTACCCTCACTGGATCTAAACACCATATGAGTTTCTTTCAGTGATACTGAATGTAGTGAGACATGGAACCCACTCGCTTTGTGAAAAGCTTACTGGTGAACCATTTCTAGTCTCTCTCTCTCATTCTTGGCTACTGAAGCATGATAAATACAGCTAGGAAGTAGCGCTGGCCTATTGGTTAGGTCATCTGGCTCTCCTCTTTGTAGGGCTAGAAAACTGACTTTATCAGATCACCCAGAGGTGATTCGGCTCAGGATTACAGCTTATTTTCCACAGATTGCATTCTTAGGTGGCAACTTCCTGGTGACATGGAGGGAGGCACCTTCATCTTATCCTATTGCCATCTCCCAAACACTGAGGCAGCTCCTGGGAGAACAGTCTAGGCCCGTAATCCCAGACTCTGCATCACAATCTTTGTTAGTGTCACTTTTGGCAGTGGCATTTGTTGGCCTGGCCTCTAGTTCTGGGCCTGTAGTCTTGCTATATTGTCTATACATCTTACCCACGAACTACGCTTGGGATACAGATGTGATCAGGACTCTTATTTTCTTCACATTGATTGTTCAGTCTACATAAGACCATGCTGGCACAAAGGCCAGCATTCCCCTCTTGAGGCCTCCTCCAGCCATCTCTAGAATTATCTCAGCACAGAGGGAAAGACTGGGTCCGAAGCCCAGAATTCAAGCACTAGGAAGACAACCCAAGAGACATGAATCTACGTCTGCCATTGTGACCTTTGCTGAGGCTCAGTGTGGCTGTGAAAATG